GCTATATGTGCCATTTCCCCTTTGTTTGCTTTTAATTTTTTTAATTTGTGTTTTAAATGTTTTATATTTTGCAATATTTAAAATTTGTTTTTGTGGTTATATATATATCTGTCCATTAATGGCTATGAGAGTGGTCAGGAAAAAGACAAATACACTTTAGATAAATGACTCAGAAAAATCTTTACAAGTAGGGAATGAGGAACTCTGGCTTGAACTATTCATTAAACAAAATGCTGTGTTCCAGAAGGTAATTAATAAAATGTTCCATCTGCTTCAGGACAATACTGCTTGCTAATGGACACTTACAATTTTTGAGATATTTGGAACACGTCCATCATTACTCCAGATGCTAAAACTTCCAAAATTTGCCAACCATTATTGGAAAGGATGAAAGTACATTTTTTGTTGTTTGAACAGATACAAATCTGGCCTTAGCAAAAAAAAAAAAAAACAAAAAAACAAAAACACAAACAAAAAAAAACCACCAAAAACTGTCATGTAGTGGGGAGGGATTGCTTATACTCAGGTCAGTTAAGGCTTCTGCCAGAGACACTAACTTCTTTTTTATGGTGTGTAGTGTTATGCACACCAACTGCATATTAAAAGAGGAATAAAATTCCTTGCCATTTTATTCTTCATTGAACTGGCAGAGGGTCAAGTGCTTCTTAAAACTGTAGCAAGAATCTCATTGCCTGCACCTAAAATTTCATGTAAGGTAGTATAACACGTATTTGAAAGATTACGTTTAATCATACTGCATTAGAGTCTGGCTGTATAAGCACCATTTTAGACAGGACACAGTAGACAGTACTTTCTTGTCTAGAAATTATCACAAGACTCCTCTGAAAACTTGGAAGTATGATCCTGTGATTTTGTGGAGATACTGCACTGTATACTGCAGAGTGGTTAGGTTATATCCAGAGAGAACAGGTGTTTTTCATAGGAGAATATTTGCAGAATGAATGAAATTAGTATCAGGTATTAATCTGAGTATTTTTTCTGGAGTCCAGATTTGCCTTTGTCATGGACATTAGTCTTGACTTCAGTAATGACTACTGAAAAGTAAACATTACACAGCATTTATCACAAAGTGATATATATCAAACATATTGAATAGGAATTAGTCTCAAAATCTTTATGTAGCAGCTTTTTGTAGCTGGCTTTTTATCATATTGATTATATTCAATGTACTTCAATTCCTTTCTATTTTTTTCATTTTTTAATATGGTAAACATCAGTAGAGATATTCCTGATCATAAGTAGAATAGATTTGGCACAGAAGAGAACATAGGGTCAAGTGAATATAGCACTGGGCTGCAAAGGCAGGGGTTGTGTTTTGCTTAAATAATCATTTTAAATGAACAGAGACAAGATTCAGATCCTAATACTTCCATTGAAAAAAAATGCAAAGAAGTTGTAGAAAGATAAGTTATTTAAGAGCTATGAGATTTTACTACTATTGTGGAAAATGGAAACAGAAGGTGTTTGTCATCATTCACACCAAACCTTGGTTTATCCTGTTTCCATCTTCTAAATGAGATGTTCTGAAATAAAGATCTCCAGCACAGACAAGAGGGTGTTACAAACCACCCTAAATGTGAGGGTAACTCAGGTTCTTATTAATTGATCCTGGGAGCAGATTAGGGTGAAACAACACTGAATGACCAGTGTTTATAAACACATACATACATATACATATATGTGTGTGTGTGTGTGTTTGTATGAGTTAATTTTGGAAAGCTTTGGTTCAATGGAAAGGGGGTATGTAGCCATTTTGGTCATTAGTATCAATAGTAATATAGCAGTACAAAAGCATAAAAATAACACTGAAGAAAATTTGTGAGGAAATGAAAGAAAAAGAAGGAAAGGAGAATAGAAAGATATCACCACACATGGATTCAACAAGACTTGATGTAATTTCAGTGTTTGTTTGTCAAAGTGATAGCCACACTTTTGATCTGCCAGGGGTGTGGGAAGACCATGAAACATAGAGTTAATATGTATGTTAGTATTAACAATGGGTTAATATATGTTCAGGTTTACATGGGAGTGCCCAGACACCTCTCCTGGGGAAGGGAGCTTTACACTGTCTTTTGCAATATGTGGATGTGTTGCAAGTGTGGATCATGTGCAGACCTCAGGTGGAAGACCCCAGAAATGAGTCTGGCAGCTATGGCCTTCCCCTGCCAGACCCAGCCAGGGCTTACTTTCAGCACATCTGCAGAGTTGGCTTTTCTTGAGGATACATTGCTTCAGCCTTGTCTACTTCTCCTTAGACCTGAGGTAATGGGACAATAGTAGCACCTTTATCTTATCTCAAGTTCCTATCTGGAGGCTTAACTTACTGTCCAAATTTCCAGGAATTCACAGAGGCATACTGGGGAGAGGGAGAGAGGGGAGTTCTGTGGTCTCAGAAGAGCAGTTGCTTCTTTATATGCTTTCCCATAGTGGGCAAACTCCTTTGGTGATTACCTTAACAGTGCTTGAGCCATTAACCATTACCTGTGGATCATCAGAGATTTCCCAGTAGGATCTTTCAAGGCTGCAGCTCATTTTACTGCTCATTCTTTCCTGTTCATTCTACTTCCTTAGCTGTTGCCATGCAGCAGATGCAGGGTTTTGTGAAATGTTGCTGGTTTGATTTAGTAGCATTTCATGTCTGCTTTTTTTTTTTTTCTATTTTATTTCTCTTGTAATTATTTTTATGAATGTTGGAAGACAGTAAAAAAGCAGGATCTTTGAAGTTCTTTGTTGATGGAAACATTGCAAAAAGGTTCAGATTTATATTCTAATCATTTATGTGCAGAGGTGTTTGTCAAAAGAACCTGTAGGACGTATCACTCACTCCTGTTGAATTTCAGTGGAATTTCAAAGTCTTAATCCCTTCAGGCTCTTCTTCCCAATTCTTTATACCTCAAACATCAGTCTTACCATAAAAATGATTTATTGGTAAAGCCCCTCAGATGAAAGGTACAAGGAGGCTCTTGGGGCAATTTTCCTTTAATTACCTGGTATTTCTATCCATATTTCATATACTCCCCTGCTGCTCCTGATCCTCCATGATATTAGGCATTTTGTCACTTTCCCTGGTCTGCAACTGAACTGATAGGTAACTTGTTATTTGTAAATGGGATTTTAAGTCACATGATATCTAACAAATAAAACAACATATAAATCAGCAAATAAAAGAGGACAATTAAATGTGATCTATCATAAAGAAGTGAGCAAACCACTTGTTATGAGGCAGTGTCTCCAGCAGTGATGAGGCACTGAACAAAATCCAGTGTAATATCAAAGAAATGCATGTTTTAGAGGTTCATAGTTTTGTATTAAACAGATATATTTGCTAAAATATTATTAGAGAAAATAGAAAATGGGATTAAAGAAAACCAAGCAAATAAATGTTCAGTGTACTGTTGTGTTAGTTTTATTTAAGTTTATTTTAAAAATTTAAAATTTTAATTATAAAAATGCCAGAATTTATTACATTAATGTATTATGTATATTCCTCTTGGTATAGCTAAAAACTGAGCTTCTGTTTTTTGTCAGATTAGTTTATAAGTATCCATAGTTTCCAAAAAATCTCTTTGTATCTGTCACCATTCATAAAGAGAACAGCTTTCTCTCCTGCCCCTGTCATGCTCCTTCACATAACAAAATTCTCTTTCCTTTATTCCTCATTCTCTCCTTAGCCTCTGGCCCTGACCTGGAAAAGTCCTCACAGCTCTTTGGCTTGCAGACCAAAGGAGCTGAAGAGAGCTGTCACTTGTCTCTGTCTAGTCAGCACTCCTTTTGTATTGCTATATGATTGATGGAGAAGAACCCTAAGCCTTGTTAATCAGCACACAAGGGAGCCAGCAGAAAATGATAGAGGCTGATAAGTTCCTTGAAGTCACTTTTATATTGAAATCCCTTGAAAATTTTATATTGGTTAAATTTTATCAGGCCTTGTCCATTCAAAGTAATTTACTTGAAAATGGTCTATGCAGAGCAATTGCAGTAGTACAGACTGTTGCAGCATACTAATATTTTGAAGTCATGAGATGACATTTTGTACCTGTCCAACAAAACAAAGTTGCACCAAGGTAGCATTTGCCAATATGCCGAATACAGTTTGCTTCCAACATAGTTTTTAAGCTCTCTCATATCCAATTTTTATGCTGGGCAAAGCAAAGCACTAAATCCATTTGCAGTTTCATTTTTGAAGAGAGCTGATAAATTTAATTTATCAATGTTTAATCAGTTTTTTGTTTGTTTGTGTTGTGGTTTAACCCCAGCCAGCAACCAACTAAACAGCAACAAAACCCACCAGATGGGATACCCAGCCTGCTGACACAGGCATCTGGTCTAGGTCATCAGTCTGTTTTTGCTTGCATCCTTTTTTCCCCACTGTACTGCCTTCCCAAGACTAGGCATCAGGGTGACATTCACCAGGCGGTGTGTGTCACCTGTTAGTCATCAGCTGCTGTTTCCTAACCAGGTACTTTTGTTCATAAAATCCACACCACTACAGGGCCTTACATTCCTCTTTGGAAAAATCTTATATCATTCTGTTTGTATATACTGTACCCCTTGTGGGTTGCCTTGTTTCCTTCCAGGCTCAACCATTCTCCATGCTCTTGAAATGCTGGGTTATTCTACGGGAGAAGATACTGAAAGAACTATTTAATCTTGTGTATTTTTTCCTTACTTTCCTTCCTTACTGTGTTTACTGTTATTACCCAGGTCACAGGTACTTTGTATATCAGAAACAGATATAAATATTGAAAGAGTTCAATATAAAAACAACACCTAGCAATCATGAAGAAGGATGTCATACCCTTAATACACTGACTTCCTGCTTATTATTCTCAGTACTATACAATTTTTTTTGTGATGATTGTTCTCCCTTGACAATTTTACGAAGGGAATTTTGCAGACAAAGCTTTTCTATTTTTGTTCTCAGAAAGCAGATTAGTGTTTCATTGTGTCAAGAAAGGCATATATTTATTCCATTACAGGAGTACACGATAGATGTGTTCTTCCGTCAGCGATGGAAGGATGAGAGATTAAAGTTTAAAGGCCCAATGAACATTCTTCGACTGAACAACCTAATGGCCAGCAAAATCTGGACTCCAGATACATTTTTCCACAATGGGAAGAAGTCAGTGGCTCATAACATGACAATGCCAAACAAGCTTCTACGAATCCAGGACGATGGGACCCTCTTGTACACCATGAGGTATGTCTGTTCATCTCTTCTCTACTCAAGTTATTTCTTGATGGCATTTTTCCATTGAACAATTATATCAGGTTTCAGGAGAACTCTCCTTTGCTTTGTTTTTCTCTACGCAGAAAGAAAGCTAGAAAAATGTATGTTTTGTTTCCAGTTCTGTTAAAGGCTTTTGGCTGATAATGAGTTAGATAGTTTTCTTATGTGTGCCTCAATTTTTGTAATGCATTGAAGATACTGAACAGCTGAATAAAGTTAAGTGAGACCTTCAGGTAGAGTTTACCAAGTCTGTTTTAGAATGATTAAGGTAATGTAGGAGTTGACCTATTACTGCAGCCGTTGTACTGAATATGTGAACCCCTAAGCAAATTTTTCATTAAGATCGGGGGAATAAAAAAACAGAGCAAGAATGAAGAGATAATAATGTCTCAAATTCTTTCCAGCAAGAGCTAAAGGGAAAATATGTCTTACTGTGTAATTACTGTTTCTTTATATATAATTAAAATATTTATCTTTAAATTTTAATTTTTTCATCTTGTGCATCATTTGTAGCTAAGATAAATATTTCAGCTGGTAAAATGTATTAAATTTACTTAGAAAATAGAATATAGAATATGAAAAATTATAAAAAATCATGTATACACAGATATTAGTAGCATTTTTATAAGGCTGATTTCTTCTTTGGTAACTCTTTTGGCAATAATGTTTGTTACCTATGTGAATTTTTTTGAATATTTTACCCAAGTTTCCAGAAGCCCTTGACTTAGTTTTTTTCTTTTTCTTGGAGAATACATAATAAATTGAAGTTGTCATGAATGTTGACTTAAAATCCCCAGCCTAAGTCAGATAGAAAATGTGAGCTTCAAAGTTAGCATGTACTCTGGTACTTTCTTCATGCAGCCATGCCAGCATCCCTGAAACCCAGTTTTACAACCCAGATCTGAAACCCTTACGCTATTGAGAGTTGATGAGTAGGCTGCTGATGATATTGGATGATGTAGTGCTTGGAGAGATTCAGAAAAGTTTGCTTGAAGTAAATTCAGGCCCCCGATGTTGTATTTTTGCTTTGGCTCAAATTAATATTCGAGAATAATCTGTCTAAGCTGACTGAAATTCCTTCTCCAGAGAGTATAAGAATCATATACTATATATTATAGGAAATACTGTTTGAGACCATTATGAAGCATAAGCTGGGTCAGGTTAATTATAATTGACTAAGCATTTTTGTTACTTGTGAGTATGTTGGTTCTCAGGGTATGAGATTAATGTGTACACTGATCTGTTTTGCCTAGATTTTAAACAGCTATTTTTATTACGTCTACATAAAATGATTGTGTGATTTACATCAGAAGCTCATGCAGTTCTTTCCTTTGCCTTCAGCCTGTTTGCTGATTCTTATCTCCTGGTGCCCCTTGAATTCAGATAAACATTGCTGGGGAGTGGAGGGGTAGAAATATGAAATATTTTTTGGTGGAAGGCTGGGAGAATATGGCAGAGAATGCAATGACTAGGAACCACTGGGAATACAGAAGGATGTAACTGATGTTTGGGGCTGGATGAAGAGGAAGAAAAGGCATACAGAAAAAAATCTCTACCCAGAGAAGACTTAAAGGATAGGAAGGAGAAACAAAGGGTTTTTTCTTGGCTTTTTTAAAAATTAAAAATAATGGAGAAGTCCATGAAATGCTTTCTTCAAATTGTTTTAAATTATTTTTTATTATAGTAATCCTACTACAATGATACTGGGATGTTTCACAAAATAGGCAAAAGTGGACGCTTTGTTAACATACGTAACATATACACACTTTACATAAAGATTATTCACTAGTAACATGGAGAATGAGCAGCAGCAATCTTTTGAAAGAAAAAAAATATTTTTTCTCTGTATCTTCCATTCAAACTGTGAAAAAAATTGAATTCAAAAGACTGGAGTAGGGTTCTTTGGCAAGTTAATTGTATTTTAGATGCTCCTTTAAGACCTGTAGTAGCACACAAGTACAACAGAATATTATGAGAAGAAAATTATTTTTCTTAACAGCCTGGCAGTTCTTAATTTGTATTTTTCTTTAAATGACCTTTGTTCATAATTTTGAGGTCAGCTTTTACAGGTTCTTGATATGATAAGTAAATGCCTTTCAAAGGAACACACAAATTGGAAGTAAAAGTAGATTTAAATTCTTGTTAGTTTAATATAAAATTTCAATTTAGTCTACTAAATTGGCATGAACTCTGTTCATTTCTGTGGAACTGATTTTCTTGTCCTGCTAAATGACTTAAATGCATAGAGATCTTTTGCCTTTTAGGCTTACAGTCCAAGCTGAATGTCCAATGCATTTGGAGGACTTCCCTATGGATGCTCACTCGTGCCCACTGAAATTTGGCAGCTGTAAGTATATAATGGGAAGTAGAGCCTTGATTCACTTGATTAGTGAATATCTAACATTTCTCAGCATAATTTTGTTTCAGTAAATTTTTACATGAGAAATGTAAACCACAAGATGGGACTAAAAAAAAAAAAATCTGTAACCTGACACATCAAAATCTCTTTTCTCTATTCAAGTATTGTGTCTTCTAGTTTATTTTAAAGATTTCATTACTCCAGTTAACAATAAACACCCTGCATATGATCAACACTGCAATGGTCTACTTTCATCACAGTGTGCAAATCACACTGACCAACACAGAACTGGATGCATGTAGCCTGCGTAGCATTAACAAAGAGCAGATAGAGGAATTCAGTGAGTGGGTTTTTAAAATTTATCACCAAAACTTAGTTTCTCTTTATTGTTAATGATATTTTTAATGTTCTTATTCAATGAAGGCAATAAGGAATGGCTTTGTGTGATAAAAAATTTCATTCTTTAGTGCATCTGCATGTTACAGACAGGTGGAATTTGACCTCACTGGTATTATTAACAGCAGCATTATTTCACTTTCTTAGATTACAGCCATTCTTCTTCTTCATTATATATATTTTGGATGTTTTACACTAAAAGCTTTATGGTTTTTTTTTTTCCCTTTGGCTGCAGCCTACATTTTCTGCTGGGCCCAGGAAAGGAAATTGGGTTTTTTTGAAGAAACAAGTTAAGCCTATAAATTCTGTCTGGCTTTATAATAATTGTAGAAACCACAGAATACAAAACGGGATATGTTGCCACTAAGGACCTCATTAACCACATGATGCTTGTCATAGCACTGTGCTACTGTGCACACTCTCCATCATGCTCCAATATTCCTTTTCCTTGGAGTTTGTAGCAAATTAAACAAAGCCCGTGCTTCTGATGATGTTTCCACATTTGTAGGAAATCTTAGCTATGGAGATAAAAGATCATTAAAATGAATACTATTTGCATCATGGAGCTTTCTCCTGCCCCCTCAATATTATATTTGTAGTACATAATGCAGCCTAAATAACTAACACCAGAGATGTGAGCCAAAATCAGCTACTGACTAATAGTATTTGCATATATGTACCCAGCAAGGCATGTTGGATTTATAAGGTGTTGCAGGAAAAAAAAGGCTCCTCTGTAGCCTCAAAAGAATTTGAAAACTCCTGTAATAATGGAACTGATACTCAGGCTAAAAACCTACTTTCTTCAGGAGCAATTTTAGGTTGAAAATCCTTATTACTAGATGTATTAGACTCTGTGTGAATCACTTCCTTTTTTTGTCATTTTTTTTGGTCCTGATTGTTTGTTTCTCTTACCAGCTTGCTCTTTTTTTCTCTGCCTATGATTTTCTAATAATCAGAGGAATTCTAAATGTGAGCAATGTGATTTTAAAAAGTGTATTTCATTTCTCTCAAAGTCACCCATGCCTGTTGGCACATTCTCAGGGGACTCTTATTTCTGTTCATTTTGAGTGGCTTCGCACACATTTTATTTCTTTACCTAGGACTCAATTCTAGACAACTGTCCATTTTTCAGCTTTTATTTTGGGATAGAATCTGAATGATGAATAGTGGTGAAAATAAGCAGGAATCCTGAGGATTTTGGTTTAACTAAGGCAAGTTTGCCGGTGGTATATATTTGTCACAGCTCTTCATATGCTGCTAATCTTATGTTGCTAGGAGGATCATCAGCATGTATGAATGTCTCTTTTTATACATAAGAGAAAAGCCACAATGAATGTATGGGAGAAGCTGTAGCTTAATTGATTGCTTTTCTTTATTCTTTTCCAAAAGTCTAGCTGAAAGTGAAGAGAATGGAGAGAAATTAGCAATTTGCCATACTGCTGGTTTGCATTAAAGCAGAGATATTTTTGTGTAAAGCTGGAAGGATACATGGGAAGTGCTAAAATCTCTACTTGCTACCCACCTGCTAGATTTTGTTAGTCATGCAATTTATGGCTAGTTGCATGAAGAAGCTACTTTCTGAGCCTCTAGAGATTTCTCAAGTGAAAATGTTTGCAGACCAACAGTAATGATGCTTTACTTTTAATTACACTGCAATTATGGTGTAGGATTTAAAATGTACTTGTCTCAGTCAATCAAAATGAACACCCAACTTCTTCCGTCAGTAGTTCACCCTTTTTCTTTCATATCCCATCTGTTAATAGCATATTAGACTGGAAAAACTTTCAGGACATACTCTTTTTTTTCTTACTTACTGGAGAGGCATAAGTGCTGTTTAAAATTCAGTGTTGATTTGCTTTCATACTAGTTTATTTTGAGAGACCAGGCTAAATGTATGTTTGATCATGAATGTACTGAGAGAGCAGCCTGTTTGATGTTGGTGTGTCCCCCAAAATAATGGAAACTAGTGAGATTTAAGAGGGTAGCCAGAACAAGGTGCCAGGGTGTTTTCACTGCTGGCTTGCCATATTTAAGTCTAGATTTCAACTAATAATGAAATTCTTGTGATACATCCTCGAAGTTCAGCATGGAGACAATGGAAGATCAGAACTATACAGGAATGAATTTTTTAAAATTCTGTGTGTCCTAAATCTTGCAAATTGTTCTTCTTTTCATCTGTGTTATCACAAATTATAAGATACATATAATAATCTCTGACAAGTCTTTTAACAGTGTAGAAGAAATGTTGTTTGTAGTTTAATAGAAATTGTGTTTAATAAGATCACAAGTGAGTGCCCTGTTCCCATGCTGCAATAGGCACTTACTTTACAGTAAAGCTATTTTAAATGACCAAAGATACTTTTTACCACATAATTTTAAATTCTTTGGGGTGAGTTTTATTTGAAAAATAAGTAGCTCTTGTAATTCTGTGAGTTTTGATGGATGCTATTTAATTTAAATTGTTGATGAAATATTTTACCTTGTTTCTCACAGATGCATACACAACTTCAGAAGTGACATACATTTGGACTTACAATGCTTCAGATTCAGTGCAAGTGGCACCAGATGGCTCAAGACTGAATCAGTATGATCTTTTAGGCCAAACAATTGGAAAAGAGACAGTTAAGTCAAGTACAGGTTAGTAAAAGAAATTTTGAAATATTTTGGAGAAAAAGGCAGTTACTGGCTGTAAAAACTATATTCCAGGTGGTGTTACAGGCTTCTGAAAAAGAATGTTGCAAAATGGGATCTATTAGGCGTGTACTGTGCAAATAACACAAAACAGCACTTCACTGATTCTTTCAAATTATAATTAGCTGAGATAGCAGAGATGAAATTGCCCTCAGTAACTGTCTTTTAAAATGCTATCTGGAGGTTCATGTTTAATCCTAACATTTGTAACCCAGGGTTGGGATATTTGTTAAATTTCATGTTGTAAATGGCATAGATTTTGTCTATTAAATGGTAAAGCAGACAGGTTTTAGCTATGTTTCCCTTCCATCCTGTTTTTGACATGAAACACTGGACTATTCTACTAGACTCTAGACTGTTTTCCTGCATGTGCCACACTGTGATGGACCCCCGTGACCCTTCTGACCATGATTAAATTCTCAGAGAGATGTTGTGTGAATGCAGAGAGTTGCTTATAAGCAGAAGACTTCAAGGTTGAAGTACTTCTCAGTGCATACAGGAGTTCCTGGAAGCTCCTTAACACTCATCTTTCATGGAACACAGTGGGAATAAGAAATAGCTGTACTCAAAATCTTTCTTACATTCTACAGGATGCTATTGAAAAATACCTCTGGTACAATATAACCCTAGAACATTTGTTTCACATAAATATAGCAAATGTTCTCTTATCAAGGAAATGTACTTTCTGAAGATGATTACCTTTTGTTTCATTGTATTTTTTTTTGTTTGTTTGTGGCACCTAGGTGAATATACAGTAATGACGGCTCATTTTCACTTGAAGAGAAAAATTGGTTATTTTGTCATTCAGACTTACCTCCCCTGTATCATGACTGTCATTCTGTCTCAAGTGTCATTCTGGCTGAACAGAGAATCTGTACCTGCCAGGACAGTCTTTGGTGAGTATATTGAGTAGCATTAGCTCTGTTTGCAGTAGCTGAAGATGCTTGAAAGAACTTCTGAATTAAAGGGCTTTTTCATTCAAGTTAAAGTGTTTGTAGAATGTTAGATAGATAGATATGATTTCTTTTCCAAACACCTTTCAACTGCAGCTTACACATCTCCCGAGAATCCCAAAGGTCTTGGAAATTAGTACATGCAAGCAAACTGTCCTCATATCCTTGACTCTTAGGAGAAAAAAAAAATCACAGAATAGAAAAAGATGATAATGTTTCTATTTAAAAAGTAAATTTAGTAAACTTAGATGATTTTCTGAAATATCGTACTTACCTTGGTATTGTACAAGTTTTCCGGTACTTGGTAGATAAGCAAATTTCTAAATTTATATGTAAATTAGGCAAATTAAATTTGAATTTGTTGAATTATTTGTGTTAAAATTTCAAGCTGAAGTTCTTTTAAAGAAACCCTATTCCGGGGGTTTGGGCAGCACTTTTTTGCTAATTCAAATTGGAGATTACTGTGAGGCAGGTTCAGCAGAGAAATAAGATGGTGTTTCTCAAAGTAATGTCTTTCTTATTTGCAAAGCAAAGTTCATTTAGTTTGTTTGCTTTTAAAGAAAAAGAGATCAGCAAAATAAAATTATTTTCTGTGTGAAATCACCCATCAAAAATGCTGCATAAAATGGTATGCTTAGTCATCAGTGAGCACCGTGTACTCTTCAAAAAATAGGCCAAACTCAAATGCATATTAAATATGATGCACAACAAAGCATTTACTGTCTCTCCTGGTAGAAAACATGCCACACAAAGCACTGTGAAAATTGCAGGTTTGAATATGAGCCTTACAGAAGTCAGATGAAATGGGTCAGTGGTTTCAGTGGGACCAGAATTCTACCATGGTTTTCCAGGCAGCTATCAGGCAGATTCTTTGTCTTTCTTCACAATCTTCTGTGAATTTATCTATTTTTGATTATGAAAATGTACACTCCTGTTTTTCACCCTCGCAAGTACACTGTCAAGTCCTTCTATATCTCTGTCTTTGCCCTTTTCTGTATCCACTCCAATACATATAGGACAGTGTCACTGGTTTCTCCAAAAAAAGTCTCACATCTGCTCTTCCTAAAATGCACTTTCTGTTACTGTGTCACTGTTAACAAGGCCCTCCATCCATAACAAGACCCTGGGATAATTTTACTGAAATGTGTCCCTTCCTGCACACCTGTTCTTTATTCTTGATTTATTTTCTGTGTAATTTATAATTTTTTTTAGAAATAAGTGGTATCTGCATGGCAGCCTGCTGCTTTACTCTCCTGGGGTTTAGTATAACATGGATAATGAAGTGTCTTGCTTCAGGACTGATTCAGTCTTGAGGGAAGTGCATAGGAGGGCCACAAGAACAGAATCACACCACTCAGCAACACCAAACCTGAAATCTCTTTACTAAAACATTGAGTTTATTGCAGACATGGCAGTTTTATGCTAGTATTTTATTCCTGCCACACAGACATGCACCCTGTATGCCAGTAAGGGCTCTGTCCCCTTCAGGCACCCTTAACCCAGGGAAACAAGACACATCCAGGCTCTGCCTTTTGAAGAAACCTTAGCCCTAGCATGCAGCATTTGCTCCCCAGGCTTAGCCTTTTTCATTGGGTTGGGTTGGATTTTCCCTGAGGAGCTATTTCATAACATTCTTTGACACTCTAGATGAGATGGTCAGCAGAAGCTGCCAATGGGCTCTCTAAATGCACAGCCTCAAGTGGATCTCCCAGGCTTTCTCCATACCTACTGGCAGCAGTTGTCACTGGGATTTCTGATACCCCCTGGTCTCTTGCCTGAATGTGTTACAAAAATGTGAAATTAGTCAGAGTTTCATAACAAAGTTCCTCTATAGCTCTTTAGTGGTTTTTGAGCATACTGAAATATTCTTGTCAGTTGGAGTTGGGCTGGTACACTCAAGGTTTCATCTGGGTGATACTTTGGAGTAGGCTCCATCCAGTTACAAGAGAAGCTCATACTGCAGCGGCATTAATGAAATGAGCTACATTCAGCAGAGAATATAAAAATTTTAGGGGGTATTCCTTTACATTTTATTGATCATACTTAATTTTTAGTTTTTATATGGAGTAGTCACTTGTTAGATACCCATTTTTGCATTGTATATTTAATATATCAATTTTAAAATGTAATTAAACAGAAGTTATGAGTCTGACAAAGTGTTTTTAAAAATCAGTGAGAAATTTATTTCAATGACCTTCTTGAGAGCTAAGGACCAACTACAGAAATACTGTTCCTTTCAATGAAACATACCTTCAAGTTATTCAAAGCACCACTTAGCATGTATTATTTCATGGGTGAAAGAAGTTACTTTTCTTTTCCCTTTTTATTCTCTTGCAATGTGGTTTCAAGTTCTAGGCTAACGTTAGGGGTTGGTATAATGAGGCTTATTTTATAGTTGAGCTCTTTAATCCCCTTTCTTTATGGCATCTATTTAATATTATTACTATATTGCTTCAACTTTGCTTTAAATTATTGGAAGAAGAAAGTTTCGTCATCGTTGATTAAATAAGTCTTGAATGTGTTTTCTCTAGCAGATAAATCTGATTGCATTCTTAATGAAAGAGAATAAGACTGGTTCATAATGCCTTCATTTAGTGCAAGATTACAATCTGTTTCATTTACTAATGTGTTTATTGTCATGCATTTAGTGTCAACAATATTAGCAAAACTAATCTTGTGCAGCTTCTTGGATTCATGCTTTGTTTTAATGGGTCATAGCACTTAGAAACATCACATGTGTTTGAATAGCAGCATTAGATGCAGGTGACAAATCAGAAATTAGTTTTCTTAGTTCTACAGTTATCTATCCTTTAACTCACATGGAGTATCAATGAGAATGATAAAATAAATGTAGTTAGGTATATAATCTTTGTTAACTGAAGCAGGAAAGAACAAAAATTTGTCTTATTATTTATTATATTTAAATTCACATAGCTATGTTCTTTTGTCAGTTCACTGTGATAATTTTATTGTTACACAGTTCCTGTGTCTGTTTTTACTTGTTCTTGATGTGGGTGCAGTCCTTCAGGAGCAGAGTGCTCCAGAATGGGTCCCCTGTGGAGCCACAGGTCCTGCTGGAAGCCTGCTCCAGCACAGATTTCCATAGTGTCACAGCCCCCTCCAGGCATTCAGCTGTTCTTTTGGGGGGACCTCCATGGGCTGGAGGTCGATCTCTGCTCCACTGTGGACCTCTCTGTGGGCTGCAGGGCCACAGCTGCTTCCCCATGGCTTTTACCACAGGCTAAAGGGGGATCTCATCTCTGGTGGGGGAGCACCTCCTCCCTCTCCCTCTCCACTGACCTGGGTGTCTGCAGAGGTGTTTCTGTCACATATTCTCACTTGTCTTCTCTGCCTGCAGTTGTGTCTGCTCAATATAATTTTTTTTCCGTCTTAAATATGTCATCCTAGAGGCACTGGATGTGTTGCCCTTGGGCTTGGGCTTGGCCTTGGCCAGCAGTTGTGGGTCCCTCTTGGAGCTGGCTGGCTTTGGATCTCTCAGGCATGGGGGAAGCTCCTGGCAGCTTCTCGCAGAAGCCACCACTGCAGCCCCCCACTACCAAAACCTTGCCATGCAAACCCAAAGCAACTTTTTAATTGTGACACTACAGGAAGAGGAACCCAAGAAAAGTTCTTGGAGAACTTTGAAGATTTGTTCTCTGGTTATTTTTACATGGGAATTGAATAATAGAGACCCGTCCTTTTGAGCAATTCTATAAATACAAAGTACATTTTCCCATTTCATTGAAAAAAAATCTCAAGTGTCTTTATTCTTCTCTCCTTCCACATGCTGCAGATTATCTTTTGTGCCTTTAGAGATATCCCACCACTCACACATTTCTGTTTATAATTTCTTAATTGGGAATTTCTGCTTAATGTAGATATAATTATATAGTGATAGGCAGTGGGTAGTGGAAAACTAGCCCTGAGCAAGAGACTGAGCTGGCTGCAGACAAACCAATATGTCTCCTCAGCTTAGTTTTGTGTGAAGACGCTAGTTCATATTCCAGGGGTGGCATAATTGCATGCAGCTTTTCCTGGAGTTGGGGTAAATGGCATTTGCCATTTGGCTTTGGGAATAAACTTGTCTGTTGCTCCATGGGAAATTGTGTTCCATTGCTCAGTATTGATACAGTGAAGCAGCATGGTACCAGCTTCACCATATGGATACATAGCTTACCCAAATGATTGAATTCAACTTTTCTGGAAATAGATTTTGTTATAGTTCTTGTCTTCCAAGCTATTTAAAAAGGCTGGTTGGTGTTGTTATTTTAGTGAAAAGAGTGCTTGAGCTATTTTCTGTAATCATTCTCTCAATGGTTGTTCAGATTTACCTGCTGGTGTTCAAGCAAAAAAGTACACTCCTTTTGTATTGTATTTCCTGCTAACACATATACATTGAGTAAATAAAAGCAAACAGCATCCTGTGTGCTGAAATGTTATGGTGTAATGCTTTAAAATCATGCTAGTACAGAATTTTTAAACTTTTGTTTACACTTCTATTTGGTCTCGGAGTGATAAAATGAAGTGGTAATCTGTATCTCTGAAATGGTCAACAATCTTTTCTTTCTACTGTTATTTGTATTTATGAATCTCTTTGGGTTTTGGGCCAGGTTGGATATCTAATTACCAAAACACATTTGCAATTGCTGTTAAAAAAATAGAATAATGAAATTAATTTCCTAAATTTAAAAAAAAAAGTGATTTATCAATCCTTTTGTGATATGTTCTTCAACCATTATGCGTAATTAATAAATGTGGGCATAATGTAGTTATCTTGACAGATTTTAACTTTATTATATATGTGTTAACTCCTGTTATTTCCACTCTCTGTTTCTAGTTAGACATTTCTCGCTTTTCAGATTACCTCTTCCACTGTTATAAGCATAACAGAGCTGCTATTTTCCAGAGATATAAGTTTAGTGCCAGTGAAAAGTGTTGAATTTGCAGCTCGGGAGATGGATTTTCTCTCTCCAGTAAGCAAATGCTGTTTAAAAAGCAGCAACATAAAAAAAAAAAAAAAAAATCCCAGGCAATCAAATAGCTCCAGTCTTGGCTGTAATGGATAAACCTGTAGTGATAGAAGATATTTAGCTTTGTAGGCATGCACTGCTGCGAACAAACCTTGTAAGGATGTTCACTGTGAAGTAAAAATTCTTGGTCTTCTTTGGAGAAAAAAGGTGGTTGGATGGTTTATTTTTTGGATCTTTTTCAAAGACTAACTGATGACTGCTCATGGTCCTCACAAAATAATGCATGACTGTTTCTTCTGGCATCAATTCAGTTGCCACATCTGCTGGGTGCTGGGCTGTAGAAGAGAGTTCTTGCCCTGTATGTAAACTGTTTTTTCTGCATCATAGTGAGATATCATGCAGTCTTTACATAGCCTTTTAAATGTTTTTTGACCACTTCATTGTAGGGGCTACAATCTACTTGCTGATTTTATACCAATTTTAGGTCACTAGTGTTATGAATTAGATGAGCAATGATGAATATGAGTTTTGTTCTGATCAGTGTATGGGTTTTGTGAGGTTTTAAGTTAAACCTTTAGGAAATAAATGAGTTTTGTTTTTTCAAGTTGACCATGTTCTTCCACATTGTTAACTTTTCAGTCCTCTCAGGTTTAGCAGTGGCAAGGAGGCAGGTTATTTCCATTCAGTCCTTTTTCATAAAGAAGACTTGATAGAACTGATTTTTCAAATTAACTATAATGTGCAAAATCATCTGTCTTTTCTCTGAAGAATAATAGCAATCTAAAAGGACTAGAGAATCCTAAACTGACAGATATTAAGATAAAATTTTCTGTCCAATTTTTTCCCATTCAATTCAGGTTAAATGACTGTGATAGCTTGAACATCACTGAATTTACAGAGTGAAGGAATAAATGAAAGTATGTTGGCAATGGTCTGACAGTGTGCTGCTTGATTAGCACTTGGGTCACAAAGTGGTGTAACTTGCTGAACTTTTTAGAGAAATTGTCAAGTGGTAGCATGTGGTAACAAGATATAAATTCACAATGTTTTAACTGGGACTAGGAAAGGTCAGCAGTAAATCTTAAATCAGATTTCTGAAGAAGTCAATGTGGTTTCCAGAAGATTAATTTATTCTATAAAGTGGGATTTAAACTGAGTAATACCTTAGCAACTGTATATATTTACATGTGGATAAGGTCACCTTATATCTGAGAAACACTCACTTTACTGAACCTCTGTATAATTATAATGGTTTATCTGCAGCTCAGGACCAGTGTTAAAATTTACATGTGATAATTTAAAATGTAAGATAGGCTGTCTTTTCCCTGAGCTGCTGAAAATAATTAAGCCATATGTTCTGTAAGCATTAGGAGAGACTAAGTTCTTTACAAAATATATTTTTTCTACAGATTTTCGTACTGTTCTGTACGATAGCTGCTTCCTTTTCATTATATAGCTTAGTAGATGCCAACAGTGTCATGGCTGATTCCAGGCCACCCACTTCTTTAATTTATGGTGGCTGAAAAACAGCAATTAGAGATTTATGTTTGCTAAGGTGTCTCCTGTGTGACTCAGCAGAATGCTTCTGTGTGTTGTTTTCCCTGCTGCACAGACCTTTGAAGGCACTGAAGCTGAGTCCACTTAGCTTTGCTCTGTCACCCTTGTGGCACCTTCAGAGATGGAGAATCTTTACTGGAAGGATGAAGATTGTGGAGTCTGAGGAGGTCTCAGTAGATGCAAATGCTGCCTCTCTTCTCTTTCACACAGTGGTTAAAATTGCTTCTTCTCTTGTAGCAGAAGGAAAATCAGAGCTCTGTTGATCCTCCAGAACCCAGGTGACAGATTGCTGACAGCAGAAGATCTGGCTTAGGGAGAGTCACTTTACTTTCTCTTGGGAAGCCTCCTACACCAGTTTTATGAGTGTGTATTTGTTGAAGCTGTGATGTGCTGTTACTAATACTTCTGCCATGGCATCTCCTTTGCTGTCATAGTGGAGTGTAGGTTTGCTGATCTGTGCTGAGTACATCACTTTGTGTTGCCTTTAATTCTGCAGACGTGCTTAATGGTGTGCCACAAAGGGAATAGTTTGGTTTGTCTACGTGTGATTCAGCCTGAGGTGGGAGAACGGATTTACTTAAGGAATGGAGACTGTATTTATGGCTGTGGATTTCTGCTTGCTAAATCTGACTCAGACAAAAGTTCTTCCTTTCCGCCCATGTATCTTCTTCCTGATTCTTTTGGGAGGGATTTTATTTTTTTTTTACTGGATCCTCTTTATGTAAAAAAGTTCTGCAAAGTTCCTTTAGTAATTGTACAGTAAATGCACAGCCTTCCTGTATCACCAGCTCTTGTTTTCTGACACATAATACAGTTACAATAATCTGTCATTTCAAATCAATACTGTTCTAGGATACAATCCATGTTACCTGAATGAGAACTTACACTGTTTATATCCTTGAGTATGTCACTGAATGGTTAGTAAGACAGCAACCGTAAAGAAAAAAAATTCTCATTTAAAAAGGGCATTTCTGTAGTAATTTCAGTAAATATGGGAGCCAAACCTGCAGCCATTGCAGAGAAGCCAGCTACCAAACATTAACCTATTAATCATTATTGCTCTGGTGTTGCTAAATATTATGAATCTCTGAAGAAATTATTAATTTTTTTCCTTACAATAATGTATCCTGCCCTGATAGGTTAAAAAAATTTATTTTCTGTAAGTGAAATCATCAGCTCATCTAAAAAGGAAAGTTTAGACAAGAAATTGAACTGAAATTACTTCAAAGGAAAATCCAGATACAACATTTAATACAATTCTAGCAATGTTTGTCACCAACTTAGAAAAGAAAATTTCATTGTGTTTCAAAAGCATACCATGATATTTTTTCGTTTATTTTTGCTAACATTCAAAATCAAAGTGAAATTGTTGATGTTCTGTTTTTGTGTCCCCTTGCAGGAGTAACAACTGTGTTGACAATGACAACACTGAGCATCAGTGCTCGAAATTCACTCCCCAAAGTAGCATATGCAACAGCTATGGATTGGTTTATTGCTGTTTGCTATGCATTTGTATTCTCTGCATTAATTGAATTTGCAACTGTAAATTATTTCACAAAACGAGGATGGGCCTGGGATGGAAAAAGTGTAGTGAATGATAAGGTAAGTCCTAAGGAAATAGTCCTATTTTCAGTCAATTACTTAAACCAGCTCTAATATATTGTTATGATATTTTGCTATATATATTAAAAAAAAAGCTTTAAATCAAAAGAATATACATGTATTTTCTGTCCTGAACAGGAATATTTCTGCCCTTTTGCTAATCTAATTTGGTTTCACTAATCCAGATTTGGTTATCAAGAATAATTTTTTTTATTTATTTTGGGAACTGTTTGTCTTGTTTTTTGACTCCTCAGACACAACTGTTTATCTGGTTATTCATAAAATTTAATCCAGATTATATTGGTGGATCACTTTTTGTATTTTTTAATTCAGTTGAGTTCAAAATAAAAAAAATACAGAAATATATAATGTATATTAATTTTCATGGTATGTAAGGTTTAGAAAAGCAAATTAATGTCCATATATGTAAGTACTATGAATAACAAAATCTAGAACTTCTGAACATTTCCAGTATTCTGAAACTTATTCCTAATGATAGGTAGACATTAATGTTAAAACCACTTTAGATAGCAGATGTACAAAATTCTTCACCTATGATGGGTTGATGCTTTGAGTACACAGAAACACAGTCATGCCTTAATTTTCTGCTCTTTATAATGGTGTAGCCGTGATGGAATGAAGAAGTTTTGACCTGATAGAATTTCTCATTTCCTAAACAGAATGAGCTAGTGATTTTTGTATTTGCAGTTTAGAATTATAATAACACAGAAGAATTGTTAAAGCTCACTCATTTTGACTGACTTAATATATTTTATCCTTTTTTCCTATCGTCATCCTTGATTTTACCAATGAAAACATATCTCTTCTGAAAAATACATAGACTTCTGTGATCCTTCTTAAAATAGGATAGAATTTTATTTGCTTCCTAAATGATTGCAGTAAATATGAAGCAGGTTTCATTAACCAATTTCTCATCATTTTGAATGCATAAAGAAGCAATTCATAAAGAAGCAAAATGTTCAGTCAATAGTAAAGGAGAATTAGAAGAAATGTTCATTCTTCATAATTTCCTGTGATTTCTGGAGGGGCATGTGCTATCCATAACTTCAGGATCTATTACCTCCTGCTAGAAGTAAATCAGGGCGAGTTTATCAGCATGTCTTGAGTGAAGCTTTTCAGACTGGCACATTGCCTTGTGTGCCAGTTATTGCCATTATTACAATAATGGTAGTTATAATTGTAATGATGTAGGGAGCCCTTATAAACTCACTGATCATCCTTTGGTTATTCCTTTAAAGTAAAATAGCATTGTCTCATGATATTAGGAGTTTAAAAGACTGTTTAAAAGCTAGCCAGTATTCCTTTCCTAGGAGTGACAATAGCATCCATTGGATTTTAAGATTTATATACCATCCATGTGTCCAGTTCTCTTCTTTCTTCAAACTGACTTAACAAAAATATAAGCTTTTAACATAGTCATAGTTTCTCAGACAAAATTATGGTTCAGCTTTATTATGCAGGTCTCAATAATGATATTACAGATACCTTTTAAAAACACACTAATTGTGTCTGAAAAGAAGGACTTACAGATGAATTAAAGCGTTCCTCTCATAATTTGATTTGGTAATTTGCTCTTTTTTTAGCTGAAGGTATCTGTACACCTAAAGCCAGGCTTACTTTTCACTAATTAAAATGAAAAACTTTTCACTAATTAAAATGAAATATGTTTTCTCAGTGACAGTTGTCTGTGTTCACATTACATGGAAATTCTTCTCTAAGTGCTGTTGACAGGGAATTTGCCTCACAGGAAGGCAAGTGCAGGAAAAAGCTACACATTTGATCAACTATTTTTCACATGCCAGTCGATAAGGAACAATGCTGAATTCCCAGCTGATTCCCAGATTCTCTTTTTATGTGACACCATCTCCTAAGACAAAGTATTATAGGCACAACATCCAACCATGAAGATCCTAGCAAGATTTTTAGATGGACCAGATAAATATCAAATTGGATGTAATTTAAAACCAAAACTGGAAACGGAATAGATGCCTCCCAGTGGAAGTAAAAAGCTGAAATGCACCTTTATGAGAAATGTCACAAGAATTCCCTTACTTATGTCACTTCCATGAGATTAAAAATCAAAACAAACCAGTACAACTGATGATTTCTTATATGATCGAGAAATTAGCTATTTTTTCATCTGCTTAATTCTGTATTTTGTGGAAGAGATGGACTAAATCTAATATTTATTTGCTCGTCTCTAAATTACATACATATATTTAAAATTACATTATATTATTCTATTATTTTATATAAATTATATATGTTATATTTATATATATGTAAATAATATATATTGCTTCCTGAGAAACTGCCTTCCATTCTTTCTTGTAGGTAATTGGAAATTCCTTAGTCTGAGATTGCTGCAAAGCATTGGATTAATTTACTGCATTAGTTTATTGCGGAACTAGTCTGTGAACCTATGTATTGGTCTAAAACCCCAAGCCTGTATTCATTCCCTATACATCCCTGTGCCCATGTGTCCACATGGACTCTCCAGTGACCTGCCTCTGGCTGAACTTCAGCCCTTTGAAAGCATACACAGTCCCATTACAACACAGAACTGGTGAAGTTGGAATTGACCTCTGGAGATCCATTACATTTATCTCCCCTAGTGCAAGCAGGGTCAGCTAGGGATGGTTGCTCAGGGTCATTGTCCAGATATTTTTTTAATATGTTTGAAGATGAAGATTCTACAACCTCTCTAGGTAACCTATGCCAGCACTAGGTCAAGCTCATAGTAAAAATGGGAGGGTTTTTAACACTTAAATGGAATATTCTGTATTTCATTTTGTGCTCATTGCTTCTTGTCCTTCAACTGTATTTCACTGCAGAAAGTCTAATCTTTATTCTCAGATACTTACATACATTGACAAGACTCCCCCTGAGCCTTCTCTTTTCCAGGCTAAACAGCCCCAGCTCTCTTGGCCTTTTGTATTTCAGATGCTTCAGGCTTTAAATCACCTCTGTGGTCCTTCACTACACTAGTTTCATTATGTCCATGTCTCTCGTGATCTGGGAAGCACAGAACTGGATCCAGCACTCCAGATGTGCCTCACCAGAGCTGAGTCAAGGGGAATGACCACTTCCCTTGGCTGGCTGGCAGCACTCTGTGATGCAGCCCAGGAGGTTGCTGGCCTTTGTTTCTGTGGGGGCTCACTGCTGGCTTATGTTCAACTTGGTGGCCACCTGGACCCCCTGGTTTTTTTCTACAAAGCATCTTTCTAACCCATTAGCCTCAACCTGCACTGGTGCATAGCTTATTCCTCCCCAGGTGCAGGACTTAAATTGCCCTTTTCTAAGCTTCTTAAATTAATTTCATCCCACTCTCCTCATCTTCTGCTGTTTTTTACGTTCTTGGTCTGTTTTCATCATTGTTATACATTTTTTAACCAATAATTTATGAGAAACGGAAATAGTTTTAGGGCTAAATCTCAGCTCAGTTCTAAAACTATCAGTCTGGATTCCTTCTTTCACTTAATTGCAATCTCTTCCTGACCTTTCTATATGTGTGCCTATGTATATATATATATATGTGTAAGCACATTTCTCCAGAGTCTCTAAAAAATGTATACCCTTAACTGAAATTCATGTATTTATTAGTGGTATGTTATGACATGCCCAAATGATAGTCATGCTAGTTTTATGTGAGAAAGGTGGCCTAATTTTAATTTTACTACCATGACGGGTAATCTTCACAGAAAACATTGTAAAGAACTTGCAATTCTGTGGTAAGGAGACAGATGCAAAGCCACTCCAGAAAGGGCAATACTTCTCCAGTTATGCTTACAGTCCCAGTAACAGAGACTTCCTCACATAACTTCAGTAGGGCATTTGATGGTGCAAGAGCAATCTTATGTCACCTCAACCTTCTTTTTGGATAGACTGGAAATGTCTTTCTTTATATCTGATTTGATTGGCATGGTATTTATTTTAATATGCTCACTTATTTCTTTTATTTTTGAAATGATGTTTTATTAAGTCTATTCTGGCAAATACACATGAAATATTTAACTTCCTGCTGTCTTCCAATAGAAAAAAGAAAAAGCATCTGTCATTAAGAAAAACAATGCCTATGCAGTGGCTGTTGCCAACTATGCTCCAAATATTACCAAGGACTCAGTTCTACCAACCATCTCCAAGAGTGCTACAACTGCAGAACCCAACAAGGCAAAACCAGAAGCAAAGCCACAAGAAGCAAAGAAGACATTCAACAGTGTTAGCAAAATTGACAGAATGTCTAGAATAGTGTTTCCAGTCTTATTTGGTACTTTTAATTTAGTGTATTGGGCTACATATTTAAACAGGGAGCCTGTCTTACTTGGCTTTGCACCATCAACCTAAAAGCTGACTTGCACTGAGGACTTCAAGCATCATTCTAATCAGATAGGTTGTTCGCTATGTACAGTCCGACTAATAACTGCTAATCTGTGAACCATTCTTCTGTACAGTGTGTATATAAATGTCTTGTCTGTGTGTCTCCAAAGGAGGGACACAGCGTTAATTCATGGGTCTGTAAACAGATAGCACCCATGGCAAATACAGCCAGCTCTTTAAAAGTTAAACCCAGGGGACTTCTGTTAAACTAGGATTCAAATATACAGAATTATATTCTCTCCGTACAATGAGATGAAGATGTGATCCTACATAATTATTTAGGAGCAGTATTTTTTTAATTTAAAGTTAAAATATTTTTCTATAAAGTAACTAATTCTACTTTAGTGAAAGAAACTGTCATTTAAAAAAAGTGATTTTTTTAAAAAGGTGTAATTGTTTCATACAATAGTAGTACCCATGTACATACCAGAGTACGGAGGTCGTACAGTTCTGCTCTTCACAAACATTCTGGATACAAGTTAGATTGAGGAGGTAGTAAACACTACTGTATGGCAAAAGCCACAAGTTTCTTACTTATGTCCTCTTTGAAGTTGTTAATAAATTCATCTAATTGATTTCAGGGAAAAGGGTAAATCAAATTCAATATCAACTGACTTCTGCTAGTGAGATACTTATTTTTTCACTGTTTATTTATTTGATATTACTAAGCTGGATTGTCTGGTTCAGCAAAGCTGGATTTTTTTTTAATTATTATTTTTGATTTTGTTCTTAATTGAATTATTTTCAGGTTTCTAGAATCACTCAGAAATTTTTCAGGTTTAAGTTTATCAGTAATACGATATACTTTTTTTCTTTGCTTAATGTTTTCCTAAATCCTGCCATTACAATATTTACCTGTATTTGTCCCAGGAAGCACTGTTTTCAACGGAAACAAGAACCATGATTTAAGTTCAGGAATATGTCCATATAATAAAATTTACTGCTGCTTTTGTAAATTGCAACTTTACATTTTGCTGACATAACTTTACAACAACTTTGTATACTAGAAATGATTTTGCTAAGATTTGAATGTTATTTTTTTAATAAAAGGTCATGCATCATCAGTAGGCATCAACTGTATTTCATATACAGAAATAAAACAAAATTGGCAATTTTATAAGAACATTTAATACTATCAGTAAAATTGTTTTTCTTCTGAGCCTTTGAAAAGATTCTTTATGCCCCTAAAGGCCTGGTAAATCATAGCATAAATAATAACTGTGTACTGTATTTAGATTTTAATATACTTGGCCAATCAAAAATATTTTGATTCACACATACATTAGCAGTTATTAGTTGACCTTTAGAAAAGATACACCTTTATGATGATGTCTTCTAGTAGAGACATATGTAGTCGTATAGTGTCATTTATTGCAGTTTTGTACAGTAACTTGAGTATAGTGCATAAAATAGATATGTTCAGAGTTTAAAAAAAAAGTTGTACAAATATTTCTAAAATCAAATAAAAGAGTATCTTAAGACATGGAAGTGTGCTAAAAACAACAAAGAGAAACACTGCTTTCTTTTGCTGTTTTATTTTCTTGCTTTTTCTTTGCTTTTGATGTGATTCTGTTTTGTACTTTGTGTGACAGTATAGATGCCAAGGTCACAAATGCATATTATAAATAGAATTAATAGTTAAGACAGAGTTGACATCAGTAAAATAAAGATATTTAGTAGGTTATAAAAGAAGGGGAGAAGCATGGACAAGGTGTGTATCCCTTGAATTCCCTCTAATTAAACTGTCAGACTAAACCTTTCTCATCAACAGTAGCTTAAAAATGAGCACTTTACTCAGAACATGAAAATAAAAATATCCTTATTTTCATATATATTTATATGTAAATGTAGATCTTCCATGTAACATGGAGATGTGTGCAATAGTGTGATTATGAACAAAAGGCTAGAAGGCAAGCAATAAAAAAAAGGGTTTATTCATGGTATAAGCATACATTTTTAAAATGTTTCATTTGTAAATTAAAAAATTTTCCCTTCAACATCACGTTGTCCAGGTATGAATAAATATATAAATATGTACATATGTACAAATAATTGTAAATATTAGGACTGTAGAAAAATCCCTTCACTTTTAGCTCTGTTTTTGGCAAAGGGCTCTGACTGTATAGTTTAATGGAGGCCCCTCCTAAAATGCTCTTGAACTTGAATAGCTCGATTATGTTTTCTGTGGCTGAGGTCTCCTTCCTGTGACCTAGTGAGAGTTCTTACCTTCTGTTCTTATTGGCAAGATCTAGGGACTCTCCAAACCTCACCAGACTGGAGTGTGAGAAACAGAGGTTTGTGTTTCGCCCTTGGCTACATCCCAGGTACTCAAACCCTTCCCAGTGTGGAAACTGTTGTGTATTTCTTCATGCACGACACTGTATAGTCAGAAGTCTCCCCATGCCAAATGTGAGTGTGCTCAGTCATGTTGAATTATCTGATAAGGAAGGATCTTGCATCCTTATCCAAGAATGGGACCTCCTCAAAGGCTTTTAATGGTTAAGTCTTCTCCAGCAAGACTTCTCTGGAAAATACCATCTGGGTAACTCAGAGCTGCATGCAAAAAGCCCATCTTCAGTTTGCACAAGAAGCCCGATGCTGTCTCATGCTAGTCAGCCCTGCTGCTACCACTTTCATTAGGTACAAGTATTTTTTCATCCACTCACCCTTTTCTCTACACTGGCCTTAGTCAGTAGAAAAAACAGGTGTTTATCACATGGTAAAGTTACGTTTATTGCCCACTTATATAGCAAAGTAGGCATACTATATAAACTCAGTAAAAAAATCCAAAACATTTAAAATATATACATGCAGTTATTATTGTGGGCATCACAAGGCTTTTAAATGGGCACGCTCCAGAAAATTTAGTAAATTGGTCAATGTTAAAGCAATCTCCTATGGGAAGAAGGAGTATGCTTTACTGTTTCACTGCAGAAACATTTACAGTGGCCCAACTGAGTACACATAAGTTGCAAATTTGTAAGACTACCAGCGAAAAGTGGATAAGTGAATATAAATGTAAAGATTTAAGTGAATGGGAGCATTGTGCACAGAATACCAGAATACAAGAGTTAGGCCTTACTTTCCTTTAGAAGGAATCTGTGTCATTTCATTTACCATAGAATCTGTGTCTGGGATTTTAAAGCTAATGTCACAAATCTATGTGCCAAATATGTAGAGGTTTCCTATAATTTGAGTAAATCTTGCAGGTCTTAAATACTTAAAATGGGGAGTATGAGTGAGAAAATGCAAGTCACTTCTCTATCAAGGACTTGCAATGGAATCTGACAGTGAATTTTTTGGTTGGCATATTAATCTAACTGACTTCTCCTATTATTCTTGGGTTAGTGTGTCATATTTTATTATTTAATAAATTAATAAAATAAATACAAAGAGAAAACACTGTGGTAAAGTTAGATTGGAGTTACAGTAATTCTAAATGAGGCTTATGAAGTTGGCTTCCAGTGTAGTACTGGGGCACATATTTCTGGATGTATGTGTCAGGTAATTTAACAGTAATTTATAAATCAGCATGAAAAGTAGAGATCAGCACAGTTTATCAGTCAGAGCTGTCTGCTGGAGGCTTCATGACAGAAGAGTAGAAAATTCTCAATTATGCTGTGGCCAATTAAATTACCTCCACCTGTCATATGTGAGCTAATTCAACTTGTAGCTGCTGCATTGTTGAGCATCTTTAAAAAAATATTATGGTAGGCGTTCTGAGAGATGAGCTTTAGTTTGGCAGACCACTCATACCACTGAACATTATTCTAAATTAAGGAGCCAATTTGCCCATGTAGTCACAGGAAAGAGCATCTAGAGACTGAACAGGAGCCTTACTGAATCACCTTCCCCTCCCAGTGGTTACAGATAACATAGAGGGTGATGAGACTTTTCAAAAGAGACCAAAAACTGTCTGCATGAAATCAACAAGAAGCAGCAGGGAGGAGGTAGGGATGCATGGGGGAGGAAAGGAGAAAAGAGAGCACACAAATGGCTTTGTTACCATGGCACTGGAATGTGAGATAACTGAGGAGGAAGTCACTGAGGGAGGTAATGTGTATTTTTGTTTCAGCTTCAGTTCTGAGCCTTCACTGCCACATGTGAGTTGTGGACAATAATTTCTAGAGCACATAAAATGGAAATACTTGTATAATTTTACTGAACTTGAGGGACACGAGTTGTGCCTTTGAAAGCGAGAGGCCTCTAGTGACTGCTTTGTGAAAACAGACCATGCAATACAGTGTGTCTCCTGCTGTTTGGAACATCTTGGGTGGAAGGAGAAAAGAAGCTTCAGAAATTAAGTAGAATTTTGTTAATTCTACACTTTGTTTTCTTAAAAAGCATGGCTTTCACTTAAGCACAGAGAGTCAGCACTCATCCTACATACCTCTCATTCCTTTTCTGAAAGCTTAGTAGTGCATAGGTTTTGCTTTGGCCTTCACAAAACAGATGAAGTCTATGCTGCTGAGCATTACCACTCCTAACAAATTTGCATGAAAGATTATTTCAGTGTGGATATGAAGCTATCATCATCTGTGCCCGATTATGTGCAGACACATAATGCTAAAATTTTTAAAGCCATGCAATGAGTTTTAAAGTAGAGGAAGAAAACATTTTAAAATAAACCCAGTAGTTAAGTGGCTTCATTAAAAAAAACCACAGTTTGGAAATTGTAGAAATATCTAAACATACCTAAATAGACTCTCCAAATGTGTTATAATTTCATGTCACATAAAAAGTTTTTGTCTTACACAAATGCTAAAATAATTATGTGAATTTGTGTAAAAGTCAGATCACCCTTCAGCCTTGAGTAAAATGAATGGTTTTTTATAAAGCATTGTTAAGATTCCTTCCATCTCATCACAGCACCAGTGAACCTCCTGTTAGAATCCTCTTAGTGCACAATAGAAATTCTAGTTACATCCCTTTAATATATCTTTTTTTTTTCTCTTTAGTCAAGGAAACCTCCACCTCATTTCTGTAGATGACCCAAAGTCCCTAAAAAAATAGAACCTTAAATTATTTTCTAAATCCAATTATTAATTACAGTCATCTGAGAATCAGTGAGGGACTTTAGGTCTTTAGTAGTAGAAGTTAAAGGATCAAAACTTTGTTACAATGCCTGGCATATGTTAATTGCATAAAATGTTTTCTTTCTCTCTAGTTTAAACCCTTAATTTTCTAGATTCAGATCTTTCTAGGTGAATCTTTTAACTCATGTTTTTGGAGTCTGTGATTATATCTTACTGGAGGAGAATAAATTTTGAGGGCTTGACATCTCTGATGGAGATCAGGGCAAAATTTGCTCTGAAATTAAAATAAAACTAATTTACATCCTCATCATATTTATCTGTATCAGTGAAATCAGTAAGGACTTTTCCAGAAGAGGAGTACACCTAACTACACCTGGACTCTCCTTTGGATATGGATTGTCAGTTCTCTAATCCATGAAAATAAGCCCTTAAAAGAAGTGTCAACCATACTGAAATACAGAGCTTTGTCTGTTTTTTC